CTTGATATCATTCCAACTCAAAGTTGTATTTCATGCAAATATAACCAATCTTACGCCTCAAAGGCAGTAATGTCTAATATTTTGAAAAGATTTGTAAATAAAGCAATACCTTGCAAAGTTTTGTTCGTGATTTGCTGATTGCGAGATCTCAAATTTGATAATTTCAGAAGTCTTCATTTTCAATCATGGTTTGAAATTTTCAAAAAAGCATTCGTTTTAAATTGTCTTTGTAGATATTTATTCGCTCTGCAAATTAAACGAGATCTTGCTATGGGCGAATTACTGTGCAACGAAAATACAGCTGCTTTGTTAGCTTCATATATCGTACAATCTGACTGCGGGGATTTCGAAGCGGAAGATTATCCAGATGATAGTTATCTGTCGACTGCACGATTTGTGCCTAATCCAAGTAGCAAATTTCAGCGGAAAGTTATGGAAAATCATATGCAATTAATGTACGCTCGATTTTACATCATATCTCTTTCATTTCTTTGACAAAATGTAAATTTTGTGGATGATTTCAGTGTGGACTGATTAATGGTTGTTATTGCTATCAATTTAGTGTACTAAGAAAACCAAATTTGGCAGTTAAATAACGAAAAGAAACTGTTTAGACTGAATTATTGCGATAAGCTTTCATTTAAGAAAATTTGTTTAGAAAATTAATGTAGTCCATTTCAAAAATATAAATTACATGCACATATTGGGTTAATTCATAAAACTATCTTTGCCTGGTTTTTTGAATTTTCACTCCACTCAAGCCTTTTTAAGTGTGTGTTTTGAATGATTCAGAGGTATGAATCCTGGAGAAAGTGATTTGGCACTACTAGAAACAGCTCGGCGTTGTGATTACTATGGCGTGAAATTGCATAGCGCGAAAGTAAACTTCATTATTTTTTATATGAAACATTCATTCTAAGAATTTTCTAAAATTAGAAAAATTATGTTTTTTTCAACAATGCTTCTAACTTTTTCTAATTTGAAATAAGTTGAAGCAAAAAAAAAGATCAGTCCATTTATTAGTTATATTTTATGCTAAGTTTAATTTTGAATAAAGCTGCACTTGCCAATTGCTTCTGTGACAAAACTATTCCACATGATTGACGAGTATTCATACTTATTAGATTTTGTTTACCTTAAGATGAAGGCAAATAATTTGAGGATGTCGAGGGCACCGAGGTGTGTTTAACTGCTGCTCACTTGGGCATTCGCGTGTTCCATCAACTTCAGTGCGTTTCAACTTTTTCTTGGGCTAAAATTCGCAAACTGTCATTTAAACGTCGCAAATTATTAATAAAACTGCATCCAGAAAGCTATGTAAGTTAATTTTCGCGATTATTAGCTTACAAAATTGCTTCGCAATTTCAGTATGAGTTAAGCAAGAAACTGTAGTTCTTCTGTTTTATTTTTTCTATTATTTTGCATAATAAGGTATTGAGTTTACTTTTCACAGTAAAAATCTAAAAATGTTTCGGAAACTTAAATTTTAGTGAAGAAAGCGTGACTTACATATGATAATATTGTTCAGATTCTTAATTTAGAGTTTTACTTTACATTCGAAAACTTGTTATAATCTTGAGAAACTGTAACACTAAAAACAATTTATAGTAAGCAACATTTTTATGTACAAGTTATTTCAGCAATATTACAAAGAAACAATCGAGTTTCTTTTTGAAAGTAGGAACGAATGCAAGAATTTTTGGAAGAAATGCGTAGAACATCACGCATTCTTTCGCTGCGTTGAAGTGTTACCTGCAAAGAAAACACGTGAAGGACGTTTTTTCAGCAAGGGTTCCGCTTTTAGGTTAGTAATTTTCAAAGTTTCAAGAGAAGCATTGCAGACTCAAGTTAAAGTAAGTATTCATTATATTTGCAAATTAAATTTTGTTTGGCAAATACATTTTTATGTAAATGCAATTTTGTAAGAAAATTTTCTTTCTGAAGATAACTTTTCAAATAATAACTAGTCACTTTACTTTTAAAGTGCTTCATCTTCGCTGAGGTTTTCTTAAAAAAACTGATAATAGCTTTATTACTTAAATATGGATTTCACGGAAATGTACATCAAAATTTATTCCAAAATTTCAAATATATTACAAATCAATTGAAGCATCAAAGTAGCAACAACTTTTAATTATTATAACTGCCACAAGTTCATGTTGGGTTCATTTTTTGAAAATATAATAAATTGACTATCATACCAAATATAGTATATTTTTAAAGGTATCACGGCAGGACACAGAAGCAGTTAATTGATTACGTAAGAGAGCATCGAAAACGACGGGAGCCATTCACAAGGTAAGCTAATTGTAAGGTTTTCTTGCAGAACTTGACTAGATTAGAATATTTATTTAAGACAAAATGAATTTGAATTTTTCAGGCCAATAAAATCAGGTCTTTCTTCATCATCTAGTGGTCGACTATCCAAGCCAGCATTCTTCGACTTGAATCATCCTGGATATGCAACTGTAAGTGAACGATCAGTGAATCTAATCGGCTCTGGAGCTTCATCTTCTGCAACACTACTAACGAAACATCAGAGTATTGCTGGTAACGAGGAACTGCCCTTCAGTAATGTGAGATACAGAAATGGTCGAGGTGAAGGTGAGCAAGCAAAGAATGCAGCAGGTATGGTGAGGATGAGTTATTTTCCTGGTGAGCTTGGCAGCAACCGTGATACCATCACCACCAGACCGCGTAATCACCGTCACCGTAATTCTCATCATTACTTTAATAACAGTAGTGCAGCGGTGGTCAGCAGTGAACGAATGTGTTTAAGTGACATGGAAAGTAATGATCTAGGCATGATAGCTAGTAGCAGCGGAGGTAGTGGTGGTGGTAGCATGAGTTCGCGGTACCGAGGTCCATATTCTCGGTTTGTGTCTCAGACATCTTGTCAGGCTAAACCGGTAATAGTAGAAGCAGTAGCAGTAGCAGCTGGTAGCAATGATCTTGCTGATGGCTCAGATACAGATGCGATTACATCTGTGTCTTTGCCAAATGTTCTAGGTGATGATTTGCAATTAGTTCGTCGTGAATTTGAAGTTAAATGTGAATGTCCACCAAAATCTGCATCAGGTGACAATTTTCTTGAACTTCATCAACCACCACATGATTATGATAATACTAGCGAAGGTTCATATAAATTATCCGATAATGAGCAACGGTCGGCTCATTCTGACATTCAGACTTGTTCTAGCCCAGCAACTAATTCTGTTTATGCCACCACATTCACAGCAAAACGTGTAGGAGATGTGATAATTAAAAAAGTGGTTTCCAATAGTCGTTCTACGCCAAATACTACTGATGATGAAGACATAAGTGCTGAAAGAAGGTTAGATAATGCAAGACGAAGAGCTGAATCGGTACAAAGTAGACACAGTACCTCTGGCAGGTACTACCACGAACCTTCAGTGAGTACTCAAGCTGAAAGAAATGCAACCTTGCAACGACGAATTTACGCTGAAAAAAGGTGCCCCTCATCTGCACCATCCTCATATGCAGAATATCCATTGCACCGAAAACTGGTACCAATTGAGATCGATGGTCCTAATGTAAATTTGCAGGAGCTCAAGAAATTGAACAATCAAAGGGAAGCAATGGGCATGTCAAAAGCATCTCTAACAGCTGCCACACCACCCACACCACTGCGTGCAACAAATAAATTTGAGACTAATGTTTGGCCTATTGCTGCTACTGATTCCAATTCATTTTCTATTGATGCAAGATCCAATAATTCAAATATTGTTTACACTTCAAAAGGTACCATACTGCAAAAGCCAAAGATCATTCCAGATGAAGAAGATAGTGCTGGAGAAAACGTTTACAGTAATGTTAGTTTAACTCATGCCTCAGATGTCGGTCAAAGTCACATGACCCTCGCGCAGTCCCATAAAATTCCTAGAACACACGGAGCGGTTGGACCACTGCCTGGAAAAATAATAACAAAGCAGAATTTGGTAGTTACTCCTGATGGCTATGGAGAGCGTAAACCAAAACCAGTCGTGCCTCCAAAACCTAAGAATTTGACGAATAACTCGGAATCCGATCTCAAAACGGTAATTTCAGCTTCCAGCACAGCGGAACCAAAATCTGTCCATCCAGTAGTAAATCTTCAAGAAAACGAAATAATCCATTCATCGACAGTACCAGAATTAAACCGTCCTGCTCTGATTTCAGTACAAAGTGAAGATCATCCAGAAATTCAAAAGTGTCATTTATTTAACAGCGATATCCCATATGTACTTACCATGCGTAATATATCTAGCGAAGCAAATGCTGAAGGCTCGTTTTCTACTTTCAAAAATACTAGTGAGAAAAGTAAACTTTCAGAAACCTTAACTAATACCATTAGAAGTTCTAGCTTACGTAGATCACTCTCAGGTCCACGTAGTCCAGACAGTTTCAGAAGACGCAAATCTTTGGATCTAGTGCCCAAAAAGCGGCTTCCGTCACCAAGCAATTTTTCATCGCAAGATCACTCACTGTCGCCAACTACACCAGAATCTGGTGATGTTTTGGAGTACTTACTGCGAAGGCGAAACGTAGAAAAATCTGCAATAGCAAAACGTGGACGCCGTGGAGATGCACGTAGGCAAACGCAACCCGTACGTTTCAATATTCCTCCAAGTCCAGAACCGGAAAAGCAGCAAATTAGCGCTGTATCTCAGCCGATTTTGAGTAATGATAATAGTGAAAAGGAAGAAGTGGAAGGTGATGTCAGGCATAAAACAGTTAATGGAAGTTCAGCTACAGCCAGGATGAGTGAAAAAACGGATTCCTGTGGAAAATTGATAGAAAATGCTGAAATTCAGAAAGATCCATCGAAAAATATTAATGATGGAACGATCATCAGTGGCAACCTGACAGATCTCAATCATTCAGATGACTTTCCACCACCACCACTTCATCCCCTTCCACCCCCTCCACCACCTCCACTTCTCCCAGCTAGTCTGAGACCATTTACATCTTCTAATGCTCCAGATATCATCAACGAAGTTTGCTTGAAGGAAAGCACAGAAACGCTGCCTTACGTGGATGAGTCTGCATCATCTCGAGCTTCTTTTGCTTCTAAGGATGAAAACACTGATAAAACTCCTCCAGTTTCTTCTGCCTCATCAACGCAGCGAACATCTACTGGAGTTCTGTGGACAGATTTTTAATCACTTTATGTCATTACTACTAAAAATCTCCATATCATAAGTAATAAAATGACTTAGCCGTTAATACTAAAACCTTCGTTCATCTGTTGTTTTTTCGTCCAGGCAAAACTTTTTGATAATTTTCACAAAGGTGTAAGTGGTAAAATAATTATACAATAATCTTTGTAATCTTCACGTCAGGAATGTAAATATTTCAGAAGAAATCCCTATAGAAAATTAATCAAAATAGTTTTATCGCTGTTGTTCAAGAGACTAGTCAGAAAGATTACAGACTCTGAAGGAAAATTGACATTTCACTTTTTTGCTAACTTTCTCTCCTATCACTTCTAATCGAGCTTGTTCGTTTTATTTTCTATCCGTGTACTTCTGCATGAAATTAAGCCTTTTCCCTAATACAAAATCACTTGAATTACAAATTCCATTTCATTTTTCCAATTTTATCACCAATGCTAACAATTCTTTCTGTATGACCAGAAATGATAAAAATTTTTTGTCAATGAAATATCAGTTTAAAAGGCCAAAATCAAATTTAAATTTGTGACAGTTTCATGCAGACTAATTACGTTTATGTACTGCTTTAAAAAGTATGAATCTCTTTACGCTCTCTATTCCTTTCATCACTTTGATATTGAAATGTTTGACCTGATTGACTTGTTCAGATTATTTGATTATTCACAAAAGACAGCGATTTGTAAATGTTTGATTTGTTTCGTTGGTGATTGTTTTTTCACTGAGTATCGAAGGCTACCAAAATTGCAAGCACTCAAAAGTTTTTACAGTTTCATATATTCTTAAACAAAAACTATAATGCCTCCAATAAAAATGACTTAAAGAAAGATTAAAATGCATCACGCTATCAATATTTACAAGCCTATTGTCATTGTTACTGGTATTATTATGGTTGTTGTTGTTGTTGTTGCTTTGACTTTTCGCCATGAAAATTTTAATTTTCACGTGAGCTTACGCAGACCGGAGCGCAAAATCATCTTCAATATTTTTGTGAAGCAAATTGCGTTTTTTTACGGGTATTACGTCATTGTGTTGTTGTAGTGATGGTTTTGGTGGACATCAGTAAAAGTCGTGGAAATCGTGCTGTTTTTGCGTGTAAACAAATTATGCATGGTTTAATATTTAATTAGTGTTTACGCTGCTTTCGATTCAAGATAATTTTACTTGATTTAATACTTTCGGTTTTACTTTTTTGCAGTTTGCAAAAGATTTGACTTTAATTGAATTATAATTAGCGAGTGAAATGTGCATGAGTGGAATAATAAGAAATCGAAAAATTGAAATGTACTAAATTGTTTGCTTTTTAAGCAGTGTTATAAATTTTCTATTTCTTTATGACCTATCTTTGCTAATTTATTTTTATTGTTCTGACACTTTTGAGATCGCTACTGCCACTGCTAATTACTGGTTTGATCTGACGGGAAGATTTTAGGAGTAAATTTGACCTTCAAGCACAAATATCATGTAAAAACGTTATTCTTACTGATGATTTCCTCAAAAGTACATTGTTATTCTATGTAAATTGTATTCGAATAATTTATAGATATACAAGTTTTCAGAACTTTTAAATGTTTCTACTTCTTACAGTTAACTGTCGTATTATTGATCATTAAATAGGTTAAAAATTTTGGATATTTGAAATGGCTGAAAATTTAAATTCTTTTTGTCACTTTTTGCTTATATTCGTTGATATTAATTTCTGATATAATTTATGCTTAAATTACCTGAATCTTTCAAGTAAATAGTTGAAGTTTATTAGTGAGATTAATTAACGAAAAAATTCCTTCTGTTTGTTTTAAAACTAAAATCAATTGGTTGATTGAATTCTATCATTTCGATTATTGTTGTGATTTTTAAGTAAAATTCAAAATTTCATGTGCTGAAATTATGTGCAATTGTCATTTCGAGAAGCACAAATCCCATGCACAATCTATTTTCATCCTTTTGATGACAAACGATGGGTTTCCATCGATCTTTCAAGAAATGAAAATCAGATCAATCACTCAATATGTGCATAAATTAAATCAAAAGTTATTGTCAGTTAACCTATTTAATCAAATAAGTTAATTCAGAATGTCCGCAGATCATTGCAATACTTTGTTTTACAAAAACTTTATCTTTAAAACTTATCTGCAAACTGTTCATTTTAATGTTTAATTTTTTCTAATTTGTCATTATTATTTTGTAAAACATTAATGTTCAAAATGTACTGATAATATTCATTCAAAAGTATGCTTATAAGACTTAATGTTTTAAATCTCCTTATTTTTGTTCATTGTTATTTTAATTGCAGTGGAGTTTATCGGAATGAGTACAAAGTTTGGTAGCTATTTTATCAGGGGTCAAAAGTTATGCTGCATAGTTATCATTTTTTGATTTCAGTTCACATTCCTTTCTATTGGTACTGTATTATTTCCAAATCTGATTTTTTGATCGGTGCTTATCTCCTATCCTTCTTGACAGTTTTAAGTTTTTGTTTCTTTGTAAGTACTATCGTGCCATGTTCCATTGTCATACTAGAAAGTCTCTCTCGGGATGTCATTCAAATCAATTGATCTAATCTTAATTTAACAGATCTTAAACTTTTGTTCTGAGGTGGCAGAATTACTTCAAAATTATTGGAGACTTTAATAACTGTTTTAAAAAAGTATATAATTTAGCAATTGCTTCACTTAATGGTAGCAGTAAAAAAATGGAGCATTTTTGAGCTATTACATTATGTTTATTTATGGTGTAACTACGAAAAAACATGGCAGAATTTTGATTAAATTATGCAAATTTTGATATTCTGATTGGCAAGCAATTTATTGAGCTCTCTGTCCTTATTACAAGCACTGCGAGAGTTGTTAGCATTCGCAGTACTTGGTAAGTAATACTTAAATTATTCGAGGCTATACTTTTCAGAAACACAGATGTCTATTTGTGGTTTGATAAGATAAGATTAATTATGGAGCATTTTGTGCTTTACTGATAATTTTGTACACTTTTTTGTTATTAATTTATTGTTCGCTTGTTTTCGAAAAAAATTTAAATCTGCTTGTTTTTGCTACTACTTTTTCAATAAGCTGAAGAAATGCTTTTGGTATTGTGTTTTATTATTATACAAACTGTTATTTCGCTGCACGAAATAAAATGCTTTAGATGATAATCTAATTATCGCATTATTATTCACTCAAATTATTCCTCATTTTGTCTCTCATCCTGACTGCTAAAACTTTTATTTTCAAGCTTTATCTCTCCTACACACAACCAAAGTTGTAGTAAATCGAAATAAATTGATTCGGTATCACAAAAGTGAAATTGATGGATAATTGTTATAAAATACCATCGTTACTGAAGACTTATATCAAATTGAGGTTTTGAATACAAGCAGTCACTTTCATTTCGTCACTGCTAGGTTTGGATTTCGAGGGAAGATTTTTTAAACATGAATACAATCCATCAAGTCTATTTTACTTTCTAGCTTGAGCACTAAATATCTAGCTAGATTTTAATATGGTAAATGTTGGTGGTATTCTTTCAAAACGATTCATAACAAAAACTAAATGACGTAAGCCCAGAACAAGTCGATTATTAGCAAAGTCTGATCTCAAGTTTATTTTTTCAAATGAAGTCAGAATTAAATACTCATTTTTTTATCATCAAGTATTTGCATATTAGAATATTAAAAATGAGGCAGGCATCACATTTCAATAATATTTGAAAATTTTTGTGAACTATTGTTTATACATTCAAAAAATACTTTTTCAGAATCAAGCAGACACGATGATCAAAAATACCGTACCACTGAGCACTCTCAGGTTTATGAATGGAATACTGCTAGGCGTAGTATAAGCTCAACTTTTGCAAGCGGCACCGATATATCACCCGCTATGGCTTCAACTTCCGCACAACACGAAAAGTATGGCATATTTGGACGTTTTTGGAAGAAAAATTTGGAATAAAAAAACATCAAAAAAATTTTCATTGCAAATTTACAATTTTCAGCTAATTGCAGCATTTTTTAAATGTTTTTCATGAATAAATAATAAATTTTCTTATATGTTCAATCAATTTTAATTTATTTTTTAATTTATTCTATCTACACTTATCCATAAACACATTGCAGGCTTATTCAGTCAACTCCCGATTTGCGTAATAAACGAATTGCTGCCATGTTTTCTATAGAGTCAAGCGACAGCGGCGCTATTACACTTTCTGATGGCGATTGTAAACCTTTTCGACTCGGTACATCGTTTAATTAAAGAATTAGTTCATTACGCAGGCCTTACGCAATGCGTTGATTCTGATTACATCATTGAACTTTACACGTTTAAGCCGTGTCAATTTACACAGATTATTTTTTTCTTCAGTGCGTCAACAAAAAGCAAAAAGTTCTTCCTATGATTCATCGAGCTATTTTGAAAGTTTACTTTCAATACTGCTTAGCTACGATTTTGATCAGTTTTAAATTTTTGATGCTGTAAGGCACTTGATTGATTAGCGTATGACCTTTCAAAACACTGTTTGCTCCTTCCTTAATTCGGCCCTTTGTTATAAAACTGTAATTTCATAGTTGTTGAATATACTAATCTGCTGATCTACACACCAATTTGCCTGCTTCTGAAAATATTTCGATCTATTTCCTACACAAAATTGGCATCATCCTGAATTTCGAATCTGTTAAATACTTTTAAATTTAAAACGAATGAGTAATTATATAAATTCAAAGATATGATATGTGGGAAGAGAAGGAATTATTCTGTCACAATATCTACAGTATCATATCAGAAGGATTTCAGGAGAAAGCGTTCAGAAACAAACGTTAAATAGCGAAAATACAATTAGTGAGGAATCAGTGCGAGAACAGTGTTGTACTACCCAGTATGACAGCTTCTTCATGCCTAAAGTAAACTTGCAAAGTAGTTAGCGTGAAATTTCCTCTCATCTGAAGTGAAGTAGTTTTTAATCTTATTGCAAGCAAATTTTTTTAATTGTTTCAATATTTAGCGTACTTTCACGTTTTATAAAGGAGCTGCTTAAATAAGAGAATACAAAAATTTTCAGGGTACAAAAGTGAAATGCTATCACGTATTGAGGGACATAACTATGCTAGAATATAGCACCTTAATCGAGCTGAGCATCCTCATCGAGGTTGTTTCTCATTTAATGCATATCCAGTTGCATTGAGGTCATTGCATAACCCGTAATCTATTCAAGGACTTGATAAATTATTCCAATTTGATATTAGTTATACAGTATTGCTCTGCAGGATTTTTATGCGATTTTTCCGGAAAAAGCGATATCCTCTGCTCGCGTACTCACTGATCTCTTTGAGGAGCTGAGGGATCTTGAATGTTTCCACAGTGGCTATTTGAGTACTTTACAAATTCTTCTCCAAAAGTGGTCAGCATTTTTGGGCTGCTTGCTATTGCTTAAGAGAAGTATGAAGGTTTCATGTTTAACTTTATCAGCATTATATTTCTCATGAAAAAGCTGTATGCGCAACTTTTTCAGGGATAAATCTCTGCAAAATACTCCAGCAGAACGACCACGAATTGGAGATATTCTGCTGTGCTCTGTGCATAATGCTTTGCAGCATTATCGGTGAGTTTCGCTGCGTATTTGATATTGAAATCATTACATGATTACATAAAAATATATAGACGATTAGTGCTACATGTGCGCAAGACTTGGGAAGAGATAAGTGGGACATATTCATTAGTAAAATTCATCATTTTGAAGGAAGCAACAAAAAATTGCTTCTAAATGAACCGATTACCTCTATATGAAGCAAATAGTATACATTGCAGATGAAAATTCTTGCAATAATGGCATAATTTTTGTCTGATAAAAACGGAATAGTTTTTGCCTAATTAATGGCCTTTATTTTTGAACAGAACTTGCTATAACTTTTTGGCGTAGAATTCAAAACATCTGCTTCACTTTTCTATCACTTTCTGCAGTTCGTATTCTAATAATTTGTGATAACTTTTTGTGACAAATAGTTAGGCAGTATTTACTTAAATGCAAATTCGCAAACGTTTTATTGTCTTTCAATACTTCAATTTAAGTAAAAAACTTCACATCTGTTTTTTGAAAATTTTGATTGTATGGACTATTTTGAAGCATTTTGAATAAAACAACTTTTTGAAGGATACCATTTCTAATCATACAAATTCAAATAAAACATTAGTGAAATTACATGTACAAAGTAAAACAAAGTAAATGTCTTGACTGTTTTATTACAGATATTATTTAAAAATAACTAACTGGGGATTAAGAAAGCTATTCGAATGAACGGGACTTGTCATGGAAATGTTCTTACACGATATGACTTCTGTTCAGTACGCTAAAAAGATCATTTCAGCAGTGAATAATGCATTTTCTTGTTTAATAATTAATATTTATAATTTAATTTAATTGCAGCAAATTTGTACAAAATTCGCCAATTTATTTAGCAGCCATTAACGAATTCACTCGAGCCAATAGCGCTTTTGCTGAATCGTTGAATCGGTTGCAAATGAAACATTCTTACTGTTTCAATATTAATTTTGTAATGCTAAAAGTTATTCATCGCATGGTTGTATGGCAAAATGTAAGTAAATATAATTTGCATTACATCAGAAAAGTTGTAAAAATTTTGTGTTCTCAATTTTTTTTTGTATAATAAATTAGCATTTGTGACGTAAACTGCTTCTAAAAATTACGCAAAAGGCGCAAAATTGGGAATTCTTTCATTTAAGTTGCTTGGCAGAATGGTAGCAGCATTTTTAGAAGACTGCAATGAAAATGAAACAGCTTCACAGCTTAGCAGCTGTCGAGTTGCTTTAGAGAAGGTATTACATACATGTTCACTTATCACTTGTTCAATATTCATTAACATGTTATCAAAATGCCTGGATATTCAGAGGTTGTGCAGTAATTACTTTAGTGCTAGTCCTTTGTATAAGTACCTATTTTGTTTGAGTTTGTAGAAATACAATAATCGATTTTGAAGAAACTTATAAGTAAGCTTTTTAAGTTGTTGAATTTTATACTTTTTGAAATTTCACTCTCAGATTAATTGATTTCTCTAAAATTTTTACTTTTTAACTGACAAATCTTGTTTCATGTTGCTTCCTTCAACACTGAGAAGAAAGCTACTCTAGAAGGATTGGTGCATTTTATTAAATTTGTTGAACTGGGAGACGATTTGAATATCATTGACGGATTAACGGATCCATTAAGGGTAATGCACATTTTGTTACCATAAAGTGTACTTATTATTTTGTATATTTTAAATATTACTGAGGGATTAGCTTCCATTGCAACTTTTTATCATTCCTTAAGATAAGTTCGTTTTCGTTAATATTTTTACATAAACTGATTGATGTTCATCTATATTTATTTTGAATCTAGAAAAATCTCACGATAAGACTGATTGACTTTTGCGTGTTGAGTAGATTTAGCGCCCATTCGCATATACTGTCAATGCCTTTTCTGACACCAAAAAAGTATGTAAATGACCTAAACCGAAAAGGTCAAGGCGTTTTAGTTTTTCACACACTTGTCGTAATAGATTATTGATCCAAACATTGAGTGCTGTGATTAATTTCGCAGAGAAAATTTTCTAACTAGATCAAACAAGTGATCTGCAGAGATTTATACGCCAAGGATGGCTGTGTAAATGGACTAAGCGTGGATTTATATCCCACGTAGTGATACTTTTCAATGATGCATTGTTGTTCGCTCATCGTTCTCAAACAAGCGGATTCATACGTAATGCTTTCCTCCCATTAAGATCAATGAAAGTAAGCTTTTATGAAAAATCATTAATTATTATCTCAAAAGTAATAATCTCATACTACTCAGCGGCATATCTATGATGTTACTCTCATTAACTTGAAATCATCAAGTTCTAAGCACATTTTTGGTTATCACGTTAGTTAGGTGTTACCAGTTTTTTGAATACTGTTGTTTGATACTGGGAAGTGCCAGGTTTATTGTTATTAAAGATTTGTATTCCTGCTAATTACAAGGTGAATTTGTTGCATATTCGTAGGTAGAAGAAGGTGATGCTCTGCATGTAGTCACTGACCCTACTTTGTGCCTGACAATCCGAGCAGTTGGTCGCACATTCCTCATGTCAAGTGATTGTACGAGAGTTCGAGACATTTGGTTTGAAGAAATAAGAAGGGCTATCGATAATGCGAAGAACTCAGCCGTTGAAAAATTGCCACAAACTGAAACATTTGGTCTGATCTATGTCAATTAAAGATTTGTATTCCTGCTAATTACAAGGTCTAAAAAAAAACTAAAAAAGTCAAATTTATTGTCTATCTGAATTCCACAAGTAATTGATAAAATTATTAAATAAAAAAAGTTTAGCAAATTTTTTATTCTCTTTAAATATTTTTGCTTCTATTGCTTTACATCTTCAAAATTATTTTTAACTATTAATCTTAACTTATTTATTTTTCAAATTCATCTCTGTAACGATTTTGCATAATTCTTCAAACTTTTTTAGTTATAACAGAAGCAAGTTTTGATGATGAATTCATGCGGAATGATGATGGTACACTGGATGGAAGTGAATCTCCAGATGCTGCAATATCTAATCGTTAATATTTGTTTTTTTTTTGTTTTGATTTAACTTTGCTGCAAATAAAATATAAAATATGGTATTTCTTACTTTTTTAAACATATTGTTTAGGTGCAAAAGGTGTTCCATGTAGTACACTAGACGTATGTTGGTATCGCCATGCTACCTTAGGAATAAATGCAATTATTGCGGTAAATTCATATAATTATATCACGTTTCAAGAACGAAAGTTGCATATAATCAAAAAGTTTAGATATATAATACTTTTGTGCAAAAAATTGTAAACGATTTTCATTTTGCTCATTTTAGGCTCCAACAAATCAGATGTCTGGTTATTTATTGCGTAAATACCGTAATTCTACAGAATGGGAGAAATTATGGGTAGTGCATGCAAATTTTGCTTTGATATTTTTCCAATCACACCAGGTTATCACCTTTTGCACCAAAGTATAATTATTCCTAATAGTTCCAAATTGTGCTCATTACTAGTACGATCTGTATAAAAAGAGATAAAAGTTATTTTATGATAATACTGCCACCTTTTCCAAATTTACCATAATGATTTTTGTGTATTTTCAATATTTGTATGGAATAATGGCAATTAGAGGGAATTTTTGTATTTCGGAACAGTTTTGTGAGTAGAAAAGAGTTTAAATTTGAAATTTCAGGAGAAAGAACCGTTAGCTCTGTTGCCTATTGTTAGTTATCACATATCACTTCCACAGCTCAACGATGAAATTGACTGCGATAATGTTTTTAAAGTGTCTTATAATACTCATTGTTATTTCTTCCGAACTGATAGCTTATACTCTTTCTCGAAGTATGTCAGTTTGTTTTGAAAGCTTTGAGGTTACACAATGCAACACATCAGTGCTTCTTGATATCTAAGATATAAATACTGAAAAGTTCAGCCAATTTTTGTAGAAATTTTAAGTTTTTCAAACGGACGCCATATTTCGAATATCGTGAAACTGTAAAGCGAAAAAAATATATGCAAGCAATAGTTTTACGTGAGCCATTTTGGTACAGATTTGTATTTAAACAGAAAGAAAAACATGCTTTGCCTTTCAAATTGCCTTCTAACAGATAAAGATGAAAATGCTCACAACCAATTATATATCTGAATAATTAATTTTTTATCAACAAACCGAAGTAAAACGTTAAAGGAGTGAGTAATAAATCAATAAAGTGATCTGATATGTTTTTCAGGTGGTACGAGTGCATACGGGAATCAGCTATAAGCAGCAGTCCTTTAGATGTTATTGCTAGTTTTTCGCCTACGTGAACGAACTGCTTCCATACTTTACTATAGCTTATACTTTAAATGCTTTTACAACTGAACTGTTGGGGAAATGAGAAACAAAATATTCTTATATTATCTTTAATTTATAATTATTAGATTATATGGAAGCAAAGAAATTGGAAATCACATATGCCACAGTTTATCTTCATAATCTCATTTATATGACTGCTGACTTCAATACTAATTATAGTCTTGTTGAATTGTGGGCTGTGTTAATAATTCGTTGTTAAATTGCTCGTAATACTTTGTAGCATTTTCTTTTAACTTTATAAGTATACATTATGACTTACTTTTCAGAACAATCTTTCAATTTACCGTTGCAGATTTCTGTGTAATTTTGATGTATTTGATAAGGCTATTCCAGCATTACATTTGATTAATCAGATCAACTCGACGATAGTTCAAAGTAACTCAATTTGCTCTTTTGAAGAGTTCTCTATAAAGAGAAATGCTACAAATTGAATTGAATGATAAAGGCACCATAATACTGTATATAAATAACTAAGTGAAAAATTGATATCTTATTAATAATAACTGCGTGTGGATTAAGTTGAATCAGCGAAAAGTAAGCAAATTTTTAAAGTTTGATAAACGGGTTCTTTGGATGCCTCTTTGACCTTTTTTTTAAGGTAAATCATTTATATCAATTCTTTACTTCGTTTATTTCTGCAATTTCAATATCTGGATGAGCTTACTTTTATCTTTCAGAACAACTAGTTGCAGTTAGTTGTCTATGAACAATATTATGTGCCTTCATCTGGAGTTGTTCATTTTTTCTATTATTCTACTCATTGTTGAATGAAAAATATGAAGTCCTTGTGTAATTCTTGATAGAATATATTACTTACACATAGTAAACCAAAAAAAAATCAGACATGAAAAGGTTTGATAAATTAAAACCTCAAGGCAGTAATGAAATGTAATCCATGCAAACCAAAAATGAATCTAGATGTTTATTTTGTTACGCCAAAATGAATAAAACATTAAGAACAATGCCAAGTGATCTAAAGTAATGATTTAAGGTCACTCGGCATTTCGTTCATGATTTTCACCCCAGATCACTGTAAAATAATGTTCAGCTCCAATTTTTGTTCAATTGACTCTTAGCTACTGTCTTAAACGACCTGAGATTCACAAAAGCTATTGCAAAATAATCCTGTAATTAAACAAATTGTTCAAACAAACAACTTTTTTAATTCCTGGATTATAGCATGCGTAATTTAATGCTTTATGTAGTAGTATGTAATTCGTTAACACTAGTATGTTGCTTAAAACCCTGGCATTATCAAATGAAAATTCTGATAATGGAGAAGCATTTTTGCACATTAAGGAGAGAATATGTATTTGAAATGACGAGACAATTGCAACTAATAAAGAAACTAGAACTACAAAAGGATATAAATTGAGTAATTTTAAGGGATGTCAAAATTTTAACACTTTAATATATTTCTTATACTATTTCATATATTTTTCCCTTTACTGTCCAGAACAAGCACTGACTAAGTCAAATAACTAAATTAACAAATACATTTTATTAAAACGAAACACAAGGATGACCAATAATATTTGCAAAACGAAATAAGATGGAATGACCTGTAATCAATCAACTGGTCTCATGCTAACCTTCAATGAATCTTCTGTAGTACTGCCACAGCTGTAAATGGATAGTTTTGTAGAATTCAGAATTTTTCCTAGACAAAACTAAATTTACAATGCACTACGAAAGAAGTAAAGAAATAAAAAATGTCTCTTTACCACTTTTGTAGAACTAGTTATTCACAAATATGAAATGTTTTGCAAAATTACATCTCTAAATTAAGTATTGGTCCCATATTCTACTGTTTGCGTACGAATATTATTGTGGTTCATTCAGTTATTTTAGGACGAGTGGAATTACCAATACTGAAATCTCAAGCAAACAATTTGAAAGATAAACACACATGAAAGTACATAGCGGAGAGCCAAATTCGTCAAAAGAATACACGCTGAGGACAGTGTAACAGAACTCGCTGTAACAACTTTTAGTGCGCAAAAATTATGGGCCGAGCAGAAAGCTCCTTTTTCAGCAAAAATGAATTATTGAGAATGACCTGCTGACAATGAAAGCTTCTGAAAATGGTTCATTCCACAAAATTAAATAGTAAACTTCCGAGCCATGAAAACCTCCGAAAGCTAATAATGTAACAACAACTACTATACGGAATCTTGATCCAAAAAATTGATGGCTGTTCTGTCTTCAACTCTTTCTCAATTTGTGCTTCATTACTGGCTTTTAATGTAGATCATTTCTTCCTGAGCTTTCTCACTATCAGTTGCGACCAACGACCGTCTATGAATGAACAAAAAATCTACAAACTGTATCCAGATGTTGAAAACTAGAGCAAGGCTGAAGGGAAGAAATGTGAAGATACTCATAATTTGGCTGTATCGAAGATGACGAATTTGAGACTAAATGTGCGGTGTCAACAATAAAGACACTGAAGTTCAGTGTATTGCATTTATTGGGCTAAAATATATGATTTAAACAAATCAACAAGTAAAACTAGCATAAGGTAAAGAAAATACAAAATAATGCTTTCAAAAATTTTAATACTGAAAAAAAAGGTAATACTGGAAAACAATAAGAAATACAGAATAGATTAGTTAAAAACAAAATAAAAACTACGAAATCAGTAAACAATAATTAAAAAAAACTTAGGACTAAATGAGAGTACAGTAGAGATGAGTCAAAAATCTGAACAATTAATAAAACTAATACCAAGAAATGAGTAAAGCAAGTTGAATTGATATTTTTTAGAAATATACAAAATCATAATTCAACATCAGTTTGAAAACACTAAATATTATAATCGAAATATTCACGTTCAATTTTGTCCTTTCGTTCTTATTTTTTTATATTTTTTA